TCGTCTCATGAAGGCGGAGTCACGTAGGCTAAGATAATCCGTCAAGTCCTCTCCCAATAAAGACGTAACTTTGCACAAGTTAAATAATACAGCCATGAATGAGCGCATGCTGGAAATAAAAACACTAAATTTACTTCTCTCTCTATTGTATATTTGCTCCTCATTAGTCTCGTGAAACCGCTTTCATATTGCTGTTCACTCACCGGGTTGATGTGGTTGATGCTCTGGAAATGCTCCAGCAAGGCCACCGCATGTATCTTTGAACAAGATTCACTTGTTTAAAACACCCTAACACAGTAAACCTCACTCTTGGTTGAGATGATTGGTTTGTGGGCAGGGACGGAGCACAGCTGATTGTTTTCCTGCATTGTCAGTCATTACGCTGGGGATGGGAAGATTTAGATGTGCCAAAAGTTAAATGTAGGGTCTGTGGGGTCACTTCTGCTTTTCAAGAAATCTTCACCTTGGAATTATAAGGTTCTATCTGCCATTTTTGTCAAAATTGAGTTATTCACATTCTTATTCTGTGACAACTTGTTTACATTATGTGATGTTTTCTTTAAGATTTTGGGACTGATTTATGAAAGAGACTTGTTCCCCATATCACTATATGGAATGCAACAACTTTGAAGCTCAATATCACGAAACTGCTCAGAATGCAGATAGAGCCTTAATAATTCCAAGGTGACGAAATGTAAAACTCAAATCATATACGTAGCAGACTTCATTTAGCATTTGGTTCTCTCTGTCTTTAACTCTTACACACATACACACTGTGCCTTTTATCACAACCGCTCATCTCCTAATTAACCAGAAGAGCTCAATCTGACATTTAACAAATTGCACAAATTCCAGCAGACCAGTGAGAGTTTCTCCTCAGATCACCAAACTCATTCCTCACTGGCTCATATTACATATTTCTGTTGTATCTCACCCATCTCTGTCCTATCTGCTCCTCAGGTCAACCTTTCAAACTGGACCCCAAAACATCCCACAAGAAGCTGCGCCTTTCCAATGACTGTCTGACCATGGAGAAGGATGAAAGCTCCCTGAAGAAGAGTCACACTCCAGAACGCTTCAGCGGAACCGGATCCTACGGTGCTGCTGGCAACGTCTTCATCGACAGTGGCTGCCATTATTGGGAGGTTTTACTGGGAGCATCCACATGGTAAGTGATTTCAGATTTTCAGGCTTGGATCTATGTTAATAGGCAATTGTCAAAAGTATATAATAGGCAATTGAGAGTCACACTCCCCCATAGATCATTTTCTGTTTTAAGAAAAATGATGTCATTACCTGCCAGCCCTTGTGTTGCTTGAAATTTATTCCAGTAAAATAATATCAACATTTTTAAAGCTGCTCTTTTCCACACTACAAAAATGTGAGATATTCACTAAGGGCGTGCAGCACACAAATTTTTTATACATAATGATTTTTTGTTGTTGTTGTTTTGTTTTTTAAATACTTTATACATATCTCTTACCTGCATCACTATTTGGATAGACCTGGGTGTTGGCAGGACTGTAGTTGTGTCAAAATTAAATAAAGTCCATTTAAGATATAAAGGCCAATTTAAATCAAGAATGTTAAATATTAGATAAAAAGATATCTGTAATGATAACTATATTAGCGCCCACACCGATATTTTGTTTATTATAAGCACGCTGCATTTATGCCGCCTGATGCTTTAAACTAGGGATGCACCGATACCACTTTTTCCAGTACTCGCCCGATACCGATACCGATACTTTTCTTTAAATGCTTAAAATCAGATGGATTCTTACTTGCTGTCAGTATTTTTAGCATTCATCAGCTGAGGAAAAAAATTTAATTCCAAAGATATAATTTCTCTGTGTCATTATCATTGTTGGTGTGGTATGGACTTTATTTTATGAACATTTTTTTTTTATTTTGTAGTTCTAGTTATCATCTTGGTATGAATGGACATTAAATCTATTCCATTTATATGCCTTATAATTCATAACATTTTTATTATTTTATTTATTGCAAGGTACTTGAACAAAAAGCTCAAATGTATATATATATATATATACACACACACACATAGTTGTTTCAATTTAAACAGTAAGTGTTCTTGCTGTCTTAAAATTTCAAGTTTACTCAACTCAACTCAAATGTCCAAGTTGTCACAGTACAATATATATATATATATATATATATATATATATACAGCATGACTTCCTAACTACACTATTGGGTGCTTTTTGCAGGTGACAATATTTGGTTTATTTGGTTTGTTTTTGAATGTAACCTCTCTTATTGGTTTGTTACTTCACTTAAGAAACACAGTATGCAGTAAAACATTTAACAGACATGTCAATAATTGGAAAATGTGTATGATCTTAATGTAATGTTACTCTTGACAAGTTCGGATTTCTGAGATATGCACAGTTAAAAGAGAACATTGTGTTTGTAATTTTACATTATGCTTTTTCAGTCCTTTGGTCATGTCTTATCTCACCTGCTTTCCAATGGCAACATTTCAAATCTATTTCAGGTACGCTCTTGGTGTGGCTTACAAGTCAGCACCCAAAAACGAATGGAGCGGTAAAAACTCATCGTCTTGGGTTTTCTCACGCTGCAACAACAATTTCCTGGTTCGGCACAACAACAAGGAGTCGATCGTGGAGGCGTCGCTACAGCTGCGCAGGGTCGGGGTGCTGCTGGACTACGACAACAACGCCCTGTCCTTCTACGACGCCATGAACTCCCAGCACATATACACTTTTGACGTTTCCTTCCTGCTTCCAGTGGCTCCCACCTTCATGATCTGGAACAAGTCATTGATGATCATGTCAGGGCTGCCCGTGCCTGACTTCGTGGACTGTAGCGAGCAGCAAGAGGGCATCTGCCGCCAACAGGATTCGCCCTATGTGTCTGGAGTGAAGAGCTGCCACTGATGCATCATAGGAGTTATTGCAGAAAGTTCCCTTGCCCTTCTTCTTTTCCTGGTTTTCATAACTGGGCTGAAGTTGGATCTTTAGTTGTTCCTGATAGTTCTGAGTGTTTAGCGAGTGGATTAAGAGCTCTCAGATTTAAACAGCTGAAATGGGGGAAATTGTAAATTATTTATGACTAAACATTTGCTTTTTTGTCAGTTTTAATGTATCCCTAAAAGCACTTTTTAGAGTTGAATTTGTTGTGATTAAAAAAAAAGACTTGCTAACATGAGACAGGGTTGGACTTCCTTTTGGACTGAATATAGTGGATTATGTTAGGATGACAATTTGGTGTTTCTAATAAGGGTTACATTTATAATCTGATGGGTCTATAACACACATTTCATATTCAGGGAGAAAAGATGATTCTTTGGTTTAAAATATGTCTGAAGATGATGGCATGATATGTATTTCCTCTGTGATTTGTTCTCACTCAGTTTCTCAGTTTCTGGTTTTGTTTTTAGTGAACAGCATGAGGCACAAGTTCCCCAGGTGTTTTTAACATGTATCTTTAATAGTTGATATATAATGTATCACAAAACCTCATCTGTGGAGGTGTTCGTCCATTGACACTCATTCAAACGCCATCAAGAACTGAATTTCAAGACTATAGTCTATATTTATCTGATCCATCCATTCAAAATTATTTGAAAGATTGACAAAACATCCATTTAACATTCAAATGTGCATCCAAAGCAAATCCAGTGTAGTAGTTTCATTTTCTTAACGGCTGTATTGAATCTTACACGATCTTCCGCAGTGTGACGTTCAGGGCTAAAATAAGGACACCCAGTCTTGGGATAAAGACAATCACTTGTGCTAGTGCAGGCAAAAAATCAATAAAAAATCAAGTGTGTAGCAAGAGATCTTTGCAATAGCATGCTGAACCTGAGATACTTCTCCAAAACGTGGTTTGTATCCATTCGGTACAATGTAAATATCCCGATTGGGAAGTATTCGTACTACTGACGCCACTGTCCTGCTGCAGGTTTTGCTTTGTGTCGGTGGGGTTTCCTCTTTGCTCTGCTGAATGTACATGATTGCTTTAGTTCTCCTGATTGAAAGCACGTAGCATTTTACCATTACATCCTCTTTGCAAGCACAGCAAGTATGTGAATCCTCCTGTTAGACTTGACTTCACTTGACTTGACTTAAAACAACCCAACCGCTGGGGCAAAACAACCCAATAGCTGGGTTTGTCCCTGTTTAACCCAGTGCTGGGTTATATTTAACCCAGCATAGGACCTTTGCGCTTATGGAATCACCACCTCGTAAAATAGTTACGTTTTCTGAAGAGATCAGGTTGGGTTTACCTCACTTCTGACAGTTTTTCCGGCATCCTTCATCTCAGCATCGGTCAATATACTTGAAGCTAGTGTCAAGTCACATGCTAGAGCCTCTCAATCACAGATGGTGTTTTTTCCACTCATGAGTTGTTTAGTCTAATCTGTTTAATCTGTGACTGAATGATACATTAATGGTGTAGTAGAGCAATAATGAACTTTATAATGATTTCTGGCCAATTGCATGAAGTTCTTGAGTCTCAAAACTATTTCCACTTGATCATTTTGGTCTTTGATCCAATTTGTCTTGGTCTTGGGCAATAAATATATATCTGAATGCCATAATGAGACACTTTTTAGACTGATGGAGCTTTTTTGGTGAGTTCTACACTGCTGAAAGTGCAACCAGTATGGGTGAAGTGTGACACAGCAAAGTCAAATGATTGTCAGTGTGTTTCCTGTATGAACAAACCCTGAGATGTCCACTACTGCACTGTCCCTCCGTCTCAGTTCATTCAGTCACACTGTTGTCAGTTCTGTTGTCGCTGTCAATGCAGCAGCCGCTGTCATGTGTCTTGGTCTCACATTCTGACAGTCTTGAGTGCAACTCTGCATGCTAAAAAGAGCCAGATGTATTGCAGAACGTCTTTCCATTGATCATTAGTGATATCCATAGGCAAATCTTGAGGAATTGTTTTGAGATTTTCTCATTTCAGGTCACTATATTCATGCATTTTCAGGCTTTTAAGAGGTAAAAGTGAGGAGCTTGAAAGCAGAACTCACGAGTCAATCTCTGATAGTTTGATCTACATGATCTATTTGTTCAAGTGCGATTCACTGGGTCACTGCATGACGATCTGGCCCAGTTTGAAGTATTTCCTGTGACATTCTCTGCTGTTTTATATAAACATTTTTTATGAGAAATGTCCAGGAAAGATATTATGGCATATCAGGTTTCCAGTTAGCTGTGCTTTTCTTTGCATTTAAGACTGATGAACTAATTACATTTCTGTTTTCAAACAATTGTTTTTACATTTCTGAACAAAAAAAATGAAAGAACCGAATCCTCTTCTTTGATATTTCTGTCTTTATTATGTGCTCAAGCAGCTGTGTGTTCATCAGCATAATGCTTCTGTTTCAATAGATATAACTTGGCAAAAAAGAATGTAAATCATATGAGGAAATATATATTATATCAAAAATGTATAATATACAAAAAAAGTGTATATGAGCTATTGTTATTTATGTGAGTCCAAATAAAAGTCTGATCCCAAATGTGTGTTTTGTTCCATCATTGTCCTGTTTTTCAGAACATTGTTTTGTAGGAGGAGGTTAGTAATGCCAAATAAATATGCCCATCATGTTATGAGCAAAAGCGCTTAGGAGGAGTCCTGCTGCACTGGCAGGGCACTCAGTGCCCACAGTCATGTAATAGGGCATTGCTTATGTTCCTCAGCTGCTATATCTGGCACAAGGGAGGGTTCCACACTCAGGATACATGACACAAAGGTCAGCGTAACAAGCTTTTGCAGTTATAAGCTTTAATCATATACAGTCACATAGTACACTCTAAAAAATGCTGGGTTAAATACAACCCAGTGCTGGGTAAAATAGGGACAAACCCAGCAATTGGGTTGGTTTAACCCAGCGGATGGGTTAACTGTTTAACCCAACATTCTGGGTAGTAACGCAACCGCTGGGTCAAAACAACCCAATTGCTGGGTTTGTCCCTATTTTACCCAGCACTGAGTTGTATTTAACCAAGCATTTTTTAGAGTGTAAGGATGTTTAAATACCATTGCAATAAGCAACAAATGAATAATAATAAGCATGCTTTCAGAAAGGTATTTCAAGTTTCTAAATTCTATACATACACTGTGGAAGATTTTGTGGGGGGGTAAAAATCTACAAAATCCCATCATAAGAAAAAAATATATATTTTGGATATATGCCTTTTACTGACTATGGACTTTCATCTTACTGTCAGCAGGTCTTGGTTACCAATGGAAACCATGGAAGTAACCATGGAAATTCCTCAAAACGTCAGATATATCTGCTTAAGTAAATTAAATTGTACACTCTAAAAAATGCTGGGTTAAATATAACCCAGCGCTGGGTTAAAAAGGGACAAACCCAGCTTGACTTGACTTCACTTGACTTGACTTAAAACAACCCAACCGCTGGGGCAAAACAACCCAATAGCTGGGTTTGTCCCTTTTTAACCCAGCGCTGGGTTATATTTAACCCAGAATTTTTTAGAGTGTAGTCTTATGTTTTAACCTCAGAAGGCAATAGAGAGACCACAAATCCATTGTACACTTTCAAGATTAAGGGTCTGTCCCAATACCCACACATTTACTGTCTTGTCGACTTGAGAGTGCGTGCATGCAACTGGAAGTAGTGTAAGACTGCCTCAGGTCAGAAAATAAAAATGTAAAAATTCCTTTAATGCACCCACACTCTATAACTGCTTAGGAACAGTATTTGACGCTAAGCATATCCCATCATTAATTATGTTAAGGAAGTCATGTGCCCCAAAAGAGAAAGATTTCAAGGAAAACTTTATCAAATGTTTGCAACTGCTTTTTATCAATTAATTAGAAGTACCACAATTACTAAATTGTGTCCTCTGTTACATACTGAACAGACATTTTGGAATTTATTTTGATGTGCAAAGTATTAAATAAAGCTCTGTAAAAACTTTCTGTCCACTTGAACACTTGGAATACATCATGTAAGTAGACAAGTGGTAAAGTAAAAAGACATCAAGTGTGAGTACTAGGACGACTGCGGTAGCACTAAAGGTAGACTTTGTGCACTTTTCTTTTCCATTGATATATTTATGTATGACCATTACAGGATAAGAATTTTAATAAACTTCTCATGCTATTCTTCTGAAACAGACATTTTATTAGCAAATATCACTCCTAGTCACACTAAAAATCAACATTCCATTTATGGTCTAAAAGCCGCATGCCATCATCTTTTGCTGCAGGACAACAGTTGTGAGTAAATATTCTGTCATCTTTGCAGAAATGTTATATGAAGACTATACACATACAAAGTAAATCTTTAACAATGCTGTCAAAGTGAACAGCTCATAACAGGCAATCATCATTTTGAAATACCTCTGTTTTCACAGTCAACGCTACAACGCGAAAACACCGATGTCAAATGTATCCACTTGTGAGAACCTCTTCAAAAAGTTCAGTTTCACCAGTGTGTAAAAAAAAAAAAGTGTCCAAAATGTAGAGAAAAAGATGCATTTTCAAATGAATCCGGAATAGTCACTGCCTGAAGATTGTCTTGAAACAAAGCTAGATACCAAGCTTAAAATGTCAAATTATTGTGAAGTTTAGTGTGAGAAAATTTCTAGCATAATTTGTTTGCGCTTTTTGATACTTTGTAATCGAATGCAATGTAATTCATGCAGTAAGTGTGACTTTAGTGTACAAATACTTTTTGGGGCCACTACAAGATCGTATGATGTGGTCATTAAAGCAGAACCACATCAGGCAATATGTTTATGAATGATTTTATATTCAGAAGTGAGTACTTTGAAATGGCTTGTTCTGGTATCATGATTATGAATGTTACTCCAAAGGTTTCAGAGAAGTGAAATTGACCTTTTAACTAAAGCTGCTGCTTCTGTCTGTAACTGAACACAGAGTTCATGTGACAGTGCCTCAGTATCTCATCACTGCTCTCGGTTCAGTCCTGAACAGTGGAGGCAGTGATTACAGCTCTCTGCGGTAATGACTCTTATCACAGACTCCATGTGTGAGCATGGAAATCAGGCCCAACTTGAAGAGCTCACCCCACTGCCTGCTCTTCACCACAGCACAAGACCTTAAATTGCTTTGCCACTACGGCTTGCAAAGACTCCAGATTGAAATATTCAGTATCTTTGACAGTGAATGCGTCAGTATGTCAGCAGAAAAGATTCAAATGTGGGAATGAAAGCTTGTGGCTGGCATGTGCCAGATTGTTGTGCTGAATATGTGATTTGTTAAGCTGGCTGTATAAGCAGCGCAGGCTTCGCTTCACATTGATCGAGGAATAGATCTCAGGTTAACCTTGCACTGTGTTCAGTGAGGCATTATGTTTTGTGTAGGCTTTATTCCTTTTCATTGAATACTCAGAGATGTCCTGTTTAGTCTGCAAGTAAAATTATGTTTTCTGAGAGATGCAAAGCCTGGCTAACCCTTGCAGCATACAGTATGCAGAGGTGTAACAAGTGCTGATAAATTGATCTTCAGAAATGGCTATGAACAAAAATGGATGTCATTCAAAAGTTCAGCTAGGAGGCTAATTTGATTGATTAGTACGATAAAGAAAGATTTGTCATGATGACTTGTGAAAACACTCTGTACTTTGCACATCTTCTTGAAAATGTAATGAACATTTGCCTTTGATGTGTAATTGAGTAAAAGTATTAATTTCCAGTAGATCCTATGTAATGTCAATTTCAAATTTCCAATTTTTTCCTAATGTATGGTTTTCAAGCTGCTGTAAGAATGGAACCCTGGTGCATTTTTTACAGCAATATT